TGCACTACTCTTCTAAACTCAGAACATAGAGCAAATGCTGCTTCTAATTAATAGAAGGAGCTGAAACAGGTCTATCTGCTCTGTTAAACTGGTGCGCGCCACTTCTGACACTTTAGTTAATTCTGGGGATAGTCTGCTGGACAACAGTTAGTTACCATTGGCATCTTTTTAACACTATGTGCAACAATAAAAACAGCAGATTGGGAGAATGTAGATAGACTATTGGGAGAATGTAGATAGACTTTTTGAGGATATTTGCAATGCAAAAGGTTGAATATCAGTAGATATTGTCAATATCTCAATTTACAGAAAGCTGATATGTATTCTTTGGACATGTTTTAAGATGACACTGAGGTAGGAGATCAGTCTGCATCAAGCACTACAGTGGAATCATAGCCCGCTTGGTTACATTTTCTTTTATACAGTTGTGTCCAAAATTATTCAACCCCCAATGCTGTAAAGGGGTTTAGGGACTATAGTGTACATTTGGAATTGTATTCAGAATCAAATCCTACAAGGACGTTGTAACTACCCAAATGCAACTAAAATGACATCAATTGTTTATGTAATACAGTAGTAAATGGTTCTTATGTGGTTTCTTCATTGCCACAATTATTCAACCCCTTAAAGACTACCACTCTGAAGAACAGAGGTTCATACAGGTGCTTTCCATCAGGTATTGAAAACACCTGTGGATGTCACCGAGCAGCAATCAAGCATAATAAGCACCAATTAGGCAGCTTTAAAATGACTGTGATACTCAGCTCCTTCTAGACATTTACTGGTGTGGTTACAAACATGGTGAAGGCAAGAGAATGGTCCAGGAAGACAAGAGAAGAGGTGATTTCTCTTCACAGGAAGGGCAATGGCTATAAGAAGATTGCAAAGATGTTAAACATACCAAGAGACACCTTAGGAAGCATCATTCGCAAATTCAAGGCAAAGGGCACTGTTGAAACGCTACCTGGTCGTGGCAGAAAGAAGATGCTGACTTCGACTGCTGTGCGCTACCTGAAGCGTAGAGTGGAGAGAAGTCCCCGTGTGACTGCTGAGGAACTGAGAAAAGATTTGTCAGATGTGGGTACAGAAGTTTCAGCCCAGACAATAAGACGCACACTGCGTAATGAAGGCCTCCGTGCCAGAACTCCCAGGCGTACCCCCTTGCTGTCTCCAAAGAATAAGAAGAGTCGACTGCAGTATGCCAAAAGCCATGTGGACAAACCACAAAAGTTGTGGGATAGTGTTCTGTGGACTGATGAAACAAAATTAGAACTGTTTGGGCCCATGGATCAACGCTATGTTTGGAGGAGGAAGAACAAGGCCTATGATGAAAAGAACACCTTGCCTACTGTGAAGCATGGTGGAGGGTCAATCATGCTTTGGGGCTGTTTTGCTTCTGCAGGTACAGGGAAGCTTCAGCGTGTGCAAGGTACCATGAATTCTCTTCAGTACCAGGAGATATTGGATGGAAACGTGATGCAGTCCGTCACACACCTGAGGCTTGGGAGACGTTGGACCTTTCAACAGGACAATGATCCCAAGCATACCTCCAAGTCCACTAGAGCATGGTTGCAGAGGAAAGGCTGGAACATTTTGGAGTGGCCATCGCAGTCACCAGACTTAAATCCGATTGAGAACCTCTGGTGGGACTTAAAGAAAGCAGTTGCAGTGCGCAAGCCTAAGAATGTGACTGAACTGGAGGCCTTTGCCCATGAAGAATGGGCGAAGATACCCGTAGATCGCTGCAAGACACTTGTGTCAAGCTATGCTTCACGTTTAAAAGCTGTTATAACTGTAAAAGGATGCTGTACTAAGTACTAAGATTGAATGTCACTTGGGGGTTGAATAAAACTGATAATGCTGTGAGCACAGAAAAGACATTTGTGGTTATTTCATTATAACTGTTATGTTATATTTGTCTGACCTACAAGTGCCTCTTTAATGTAAATGTAAGCAAGATGACTGAATGATCAAAAGCAATGTCAAACTGGCCAAAACACTCAATTTCAGTGGGGGTTGAATAATTTTGGCCACAACTGTATAACTTGAAATGTATCAAAATTAAGACACACAGGCGTATTTACTCTATACCAAAGAAATTGCTTCAATTTGAATAAAACAGCAAAAATATGTAGGTTAGTGCACTCTGCACATAGTTTTTCATCTTATAACATAAAGCCCAAAGCTGCTTTAAAATATTGCATGGCTGAACCCGGATACATTATTGATCTGTGATCATATTGGTTATTCCTGGAAGCAGGAGGAAATGGAAAAAGCTGGCCCAATTACAGTATTGAATGTTATTCTACAGAGGGAACAGCACTGCCAATTAGATATTATGATATTAACTTTAAACATCAGACATAGGTAAATTTGTACTAAACTGTTCACAGTCTAATTCCAGACAATTTTTTTAGTTTAGGATAGAATAGGGACAAGTTTAAACATTTGTCAGGTTTTTATCTCTGTCTGCAATGTCATTGGGGACATTTTCCATCACTTTCTGTCCTGTGACATGCATACAAGAAATGAAGGGGTTGTTGTAATCACCAGGAGTGGAAGCCATGGACAGCAATATAAACAATGTCAGAAGTATGATGCCTCTAACTTTACTAAAAATGTGTTTTTGTTTTTGTCTTGGTTCCTGTTGGAGATATTTACCATCACGTTCTAACCTGACAGTGGAAATTATCCTAATATGGACACAGATTGCAATAGGGACTTGAGAGAGGCTCTAACCCTTCCCAGCTTTATCAAGAGCAAAATAAAATTTCAGCTAGAGTTGGGCTTATTGAACAGGCACAGTGAAAGTCATGTAATTCTGTGTTGAGTTTCTGAAACTGTAAGCCCCCTCAAAACCAGTGAATTATATTTAAGCCTCATTCACAAGGCCAATCAAGATTGGGCACTGTCAAGAATCAGTGTACACATCCAGCTGGGATCCCAGGTGTTGTGATCAGTTGTGGCCAGCAAGCCTGTACAAACCAATGGCAGGCTGCCAGGCACCACAGCTGTTTGCATGTAAATGTACAATATTACATACGGATAGGGACAGATAAGCAGCCCTGGGTGTAAGCATTATGTAATGTTTATAAATGTTGTTTGCAACACCAAAGGAAAGTGTCAGGACCCAGGTCCAAACCTGCAATCTCTGCTGTGCCTGGCAATATCTGTTCTTGCTGAGCCACCTGAGAAGTTGGACAGCAGCCTGTCTGATCCATTGGACAATCTTGCCTTGTGCCTTGTGTCTGCTGAACCTTGAAAGCCTTGCCTAATCCATGAACTTCCTATTTAAGCCATACCATTGCACATCCTGTTTGCTAGATTATTGTGTTCTCTCCAGCCAATATCTTGCTTTTGTCACTCCTGTTGCCATATGTATCTGCGCTACCACTCGTTATCCACTTTTGGCTTGTTCCTTGATCATGCTTCTGCTTAATCCCAACCTGCAACCACTTGTTACCGACCTTTGGCTTGTTTACTTGATCCCTACCTGTGATACCTGCTACTGGACCCTGGCTTGCTCACCTCCTGGTGGGGGTGTCTTGAGGACTATGACCTGGTACTAACACACAGCAAAACCAATTTCCACCATCAGGAGCGCTATGAAATCCAGTTAGTGCTTAGAATCCGCACCTTGGATGAGCCCATATCATCCGCCAAGGTGACCTGTTGCTACACTTATCCAGCTATTCAGTGGGAGCTTCTCTACTGCTATAGCAACTGGCCTCTGAGTCTGACCCCTGACCATGAAAGAAGGGCTATTTAAAGGCAGAGAGTGTGCTGGTCAGGTAGCTCAGAGGAAGAGGCTTCACCCTCAAAGCACATAAGCCAGAATGCACACTTTAAGGTGGAAGGAAAGGCTTGCTTTCATTCACCTTGCTATAGTCATACACCCCAATAATATTAGTGCTGGGATTATATTTGTAAAAAGATGCTTTTTTCCACTTTTTTGCTTTAAAATTACTTCATTCATGTGACTGCAAGACTCATCAGTTTATTCATGCAGGGCAACTATTGGGTATGTCTACTGGCTACTAATGGCATGATGAACCTAACTGGCTGATGGTGCTGATGGCTCTATGGTATGGGGTGGGGCTATACGGGGGAAGGAGCAATCAGAGCTGTGCTGTAATGATTACACAGACGCTTACAATGGTTTAAGCTAGTGCCTGTAGACAGCCACATTTGGCTGCATAGGCACACCATTGTCAGTAAAGCTCAGGAGATTTCTGTTGTTTCTAATCTAGACAATCAGCAATTAAGAAAATGCATAATATAAACATTTTGGTTGTTACACATAACAAGCAAGGGCAGATTTTGATTTTAAACTGGTATTCCACTTTAGGCAGTGACTATTTGTTGCTGGAAGGAATAAACGGTTGAACACTTTGGTATTGAGTGGATACTGTGGGTCTCTCCTTGAATGGTTTTATGTTGCATGTTTTTTTTGCCAAGCACTTCTGTGAATAAAGACATATTTTTATAATAAAGATTTATTGAAGACATCCCACAATGCTTTCTATCTGTTCACTAGTGTTACTAGAAAGTGTATAAAAGAGGTGCTGGATCTTATGTTGTCAATATCTTATAATTGTGGAAAGTTGGTCCATTCTATAAAGCTCACTAGCTCTTGGAAGTCTGGTAAGGCTGCTCTCATTAAACAGGATACCCCTAATTGAGGGACTCAGAGTGAAAGTTCACAAAGCAAGTGATAAAACAACAGTGGCAAATCAATGATGAAAAAGTTCAATAAATAAGCTTTCATTAAAGTAAAGTAGAAATGCCACCATGTATTAGGAGCTCTGGCAATTCCCCTTCATCATCGCTAAAACGGAAAACTATTAGTCAGCAGTTCACACACTTTACAGTAAAGGCATGCTGCTAATGCATGAGTGAATCCAAATATCACAAGTTTTACAACCCTAGTAAAGAAGAAAGGTATGTATGAATGTCTTGTGTGTACAAATACAATAAGCAAGTACCATAAACTAACTTACTGTTGTCATGTTTATGTCCAGCGTAGATGATTCTGAAGACATAATCTGTAGTTAACTCTTCTACAAAACTGTCATCAAAGTCTACTGACTTATTAGAGCTGTTTCTTTTTCTCAGTTTTGGAAATACTTTTCCCTGTTAAACAAAAAAAAAAAAGGTCACATCTAAGTGGTTTCTAGCAGGTTTAAAGTGTGTGTACAGCCAAAACCTTTTTGTGGTGGAGTTGAAAAGCATTAGAACCCGTTTCAATTTGCTAATGTTGCTTGGATCTTTGCTTCCTAAATTAATTGTAACTGTCCTGTTGACAATTGTCAACAAGCTCTAAAGCAGTGGTCTCCAAACTGTGGCCCAAGGGTCGGATGCGGCCATTTGCTTGCTTTTATCTGGCCCTTGGGGCAATATTTCATCCTCTGATGCCAACATTGAGGCATAATTATCCCCCATTGACAGCAACAAAGGGGCACAATTCCTCTGAATGACACCAACGATGGGACACAGTTCCTTCCAATGACACCAATGATGGGGCACAATTCCTCCCAGTGACACCAACAATGAGAAACAATTCCTCTCACTGACACCAAAGGTGGGGCATTGTTTACTCCCATTTTCTACTTACAATGGCCACAGTCTGGCCCCCCTAAAGTCCGAAGAACAGTAAATTGGCCCTTTATTTAGAGAGTTTGGACACCTCTGCTCTAAAGCATTGGGAAATCCAAAATGTTACAGCTGTCCTCAGGACAAGAGGTAAAGGTAAAATATCCAATGGAAAGCCATATTATGTTAACGGTTGCCTTAAGAGATTTCCTCTTAATCACACACTTGTGTCTTGAGGACAGGAGGTGAATGGAAATCTCCCCAATAGGACACAGACAGCACAAAATAAATTGAATTGGGTTTTAATCTTTCTGTACTGAAAAAAAAGCTTTGGTTATACATACTGTACACTCAATCCTATTGCACATGGGGCTGTCTAGGTGCAATGAGTCCCTCCCAGCATTTTAGTGCTCCTGAGAGGGACAGGTGCAGCATTCAGCCCAAATGCCTGCAGCCTGTAAGAGTCTGTGGCAGGCTATGGCTGGATGGGGCTGAATGGTGCATTGAGTGATACTTGCGTTTAAGGGACCTATGCATTCAGGGACAAAGGGACAAAGGTCCAGAAGGATGCACTGCATTAAGACAGCCTTTGTGCAATGGGCCTTAGTCAGCTACTGCTGGGAAAGCACACTAAACAGAGTTGTCAGATGTTTATATCTACAGTTAAGTCTATATATATTTGGACACAGGCACAATTTTAGATTTTTTCCGGTATTTACTAAAACATATTCAAGCTATAGTTATATAATGGATATGGGTGGAAAGTGCACACTCACAGGTTTAATTTGAGGGTATGTACATCCAAACTGAATTACAGCTCTTAAGAGTAACCAGCCTCTCTTTTTCAAGGGACCAAAAGCAATTGAACAATCGAATCAAAAGCTGTTTTATAGGCAGGTGTGGGTTACTTCTTCATTATTTCTTCATCAATTAAGCAGGTAAAAGCTTTGGAGTTGATTCTAAGTGTGGTATTTGCATTTGGAATCTATTGCTGTGAACCTACATCATACATTCAAAGGAGCTGTCCATGCAAGTGAAACAGGCCATTGTAAGGCTTCAAGAACAAAACAAATCCATCAGAGAGATAGCCGCAACATTAGGAGTGGCCAAATCAACAGTTTGGTACATTTTGAGGAAAGAAGAATGCACTGGTGCGCTCAGCAATATAAAAAGGCATGGAAATTCATGGAAGACAATAGTAGTGGATGATCGCAGGATCCTCTCTATGGTAAAGACCCATTCACAACATCCAGACAAGTGAAGGACACTCTCCAGGAGGTGGGCATATCATTGTCAAAGTCTACAATCAAGAGAAGACTTCACGAGAGCAAATAAAGAGGGTTCACCACAAGCTGCAAATTCATAAGCCTGAAGAATAGAAAAGCCAGATTAGACTTTGCCAAAAAACATTTAAAAAAGCCAGACCAGTTCTGGAAAAGCATTCTTTGGACGGATGAAACTAAGATTAATCTGTACCAGAATGATGGGAAAAAAAGTGCTGAGAAGGCTTGGAACAGCTCATGATCCAAAGCATACAACGTCATCTGTAAAACATGGTGGAGGCAGTGTGATAGCATGGGCATGCATGGCTACCAGTGGCACTGGCTCATTGGTGTTTATTGGTGATGTGACAGAAGGCAGAAGCAGCTGGATGAATTCTGCAGTGTTTAGAGATATACTGTCAGCTCAGATTCAGCCAAATGCAGCAAAGTTGATTGGACGGCGCTTCACAGTACAGATAGATAATGATCCAAAACACACTGCAAAAGCAACCCAGGAGCTTTTGAAGGAAAAGAAGTTGAATATTCTGCAATGGCCGAGTCAATCACCTAATCTCAGCCCAATTGAGCATGCATTTCACTTGCTGAAGGTGAAACTAAAGGCAGAAAGACCCACAAACAAAGAACAACTGAAGACAGCTGCAGTTAGAGCCTGGCAAAGCATCAGAAAGGAGGAAACCCAGTCTTTGGTAATGTCCATGGGTTCCAAACTTCAGGCAGTCATTGCCAGTAAAGGATTCTCAACAAAATATTAAAAATTAACATTTTAATTATGATTATATTCATCTGTGCAATTACATTTGAGCCCCTGAAAATGGAGAAACTGTGTATAAAAATTATTGCATTTCAACCCCTTGAATTAAAGCTGAAAGTCTGCACTTCAAATTCATTCATTTGGATTGTTGCATTTTAATTTATTCTGGTGGAATACAGAGCCAAAAGTATGAAAATTGTGCCTGTGTCCACATATATATGGACCTAACTGTATGTGCTGCAGTGCAGTGCATTATGGTAAAAGCAGGCTGCCTGAACTGGTAAGTCCAAAAAAAAGAATGGCAATATTTTAAAATGCACATGTAATTATTTTTTAATGGGATGTCATATGACCAGCAGACTGAGATTATTCTCACTTAAGTTCCCAGGCTAAAGCATGCAAAATACAAGTTAAAGCTCATTAAAATGCAATTAGCAGCTTGCCCTTTTCACAACACAAAAGGCCTGATTTGCAAAGTTAAAAAGCCAAGATAAGTATTTTTTTTTTTTTTTAAAAGGTAAATTTTTTTCAATTGAGCCCTACGACATTTGAAAATGATGTGGCTGAAAATAGAGTGCCTTAGGCTAGTGTTTAAACTTTGTGAATTGAGCATAAAGAATGAATCCAGTCTAGGTAGTATTCTTTGCAACCCCAATGAGGCAACTTAAATAATTCTGCTTGCTATATGTATGGCTTCCACATTTCTTTTCTTGAATATTTTTATCCATGGGAACTAAGTGCTCATGGATTGTCTAACATACCTTGCCCCTCTGTGACCATAGTGGAGGCTCTAGCTGTCCTCTAGGTAGAAGACCATTTTCAAGGCAAGATAGGAAGGCAAGAAGATGTCCCCCTGGAGGGAAGTGGAGTGGAGGTCTCTGGATACCATCTTGGCTGACCAGTACAAGGACTCCCCTGCTGTCTGCTATACGTGGAAAAAGGTCAAAGGGTAATTATAAAGTATAGACATGATTGGTGAAGGTACAATCAGATACAGAGAAACACACTTTACAGATTTATTTACTAAGAGAAAATGCAAAAAAGGGAGTGCATTAACCCAAATTACCAACAGTCATATGCCATCGCTTTGACTGTCCCATACTGTTAAATTTAAAATCTATATTGCTTCAGTAAAGGAAAAATGTAGACTGCATTGCTGGTATCCTTCTGAAAATACTAACTACATTGTATGATGTAGGTTAATTTTTGATCAGTGATAGTACTAACGTTAGTGGATCGGTATGACATGTATTGCTGGTGATGTGAATATAAAATTTTAGCTCATTCTGCATTATAGTCTTAACAGTGACTCAGCACAGATTGCATATACTGCATGTTTCTCTTATTTACAATTTTCCTTATACATAATATATGGATTAAACTTTTACTTACGCTGCTGGTGGCAATGTATACAGACTATCTGACTTATTGGCACGATTAGAGCATAGTCCCAAAACACACTGAAGAGACAGAGAAAGATAAAATTACTGTTAAATACACGGCAAGTGATACCAGACAAGGTGATGTTTTATTTAGGCTAAATGATTAAAGGTAATAACCTTAGAAAACTATCTACACTACCTGTTATTATTTTATATATAGGGTGCCCATAGACATGAGAGGACATAGTTTCTATCTAGCTGCATTCAGCTGAATCAGAAAATGATCTGATATCTGTGGGCATTTGCTGACAGTCCAGTCAATAGATCATGGGGAAACATGATCAGGCAGGTATCTAACCTTCTTCAACCTCCAGCTACAAGGTAATTTTAGTTTCCCGTGACCACCACAACCACCCCACAGTGCAGAAATTGGTATGAGTTCCACAAAGAGACAGCCTCATCACTACATGTTCCTTCCTTCTGTAGACAAACATAGATATGAAGACCTGAATGGTGGTATTTTGAGATGCAAAGCATAACTAGGTGCATTCAACCCTACTCTACCAAAATAGTTTTTAAATGGTTTACCATTTTCATGTGTACAATTAAAATAGACACAAATCAATCACAAAACTGTGTGAATGAAATGTGTAACCAAAATCCTCTGCTAGTGAGTTTTTGAGTAGACCATGTAGACTGAGGATCAGTGCAAACAATATAATGGTATCCAATCACCAGCTCTTGAATTTGGGCCTTCTTTGCTGGTTTGTCATAGATGGTTATTGAAAACATCTTGTATTGTCTGGCATAGAGCTAGCACCCCTAGTACAATAAACATAGGGGTAACCTAACAGTATTAACAATTATGAATATCTGCATTTATTTTGCTAAATTGATTCATTAGGTGGCCAAACCACCAAAAATAATTTAGTCACAGGTAGCATCTTGTGGGCTGAGTCATCCAAAATGGTACCCATACCTTCTGTTTTAAAAATTAGACCTCCTAGTACTGACAGTGGAAGTGATGTAGACATGTTCATTCACGAGCAGAGATCTCAGCACCAGAACCCATGAGCTACATTAGAAATCACAAAAACTTTTCAGAATATCCCAAAAAACAACATATCAGTTTTGGGGTTGCTAAAAAGCAAACTCCAGTCAAACTATAAAAATGTTTATTCAAAAATGGCATGCACAGCCTACCTGCTGAATGGCACCAATTGTCATTCTGCTACAAGCTAGCTGTATTGTTGCCTAAATAACTATATTTTCTGCTATGCAGGTCAGAATTTTCAGGGGTCTAAGTAATGTTCTCTCAAACCACACTGCAGTCTTATGCATTCATGTGAAAGCATGAAAAGAAAATAGAACATCAGAGAATCATATGGTGAAAGTCCTACCCAAAGTCCTTTGAGAAGCCTGCTATATCTGGCTGCTTTGGGTTTTTAAAAAACTCAAAACAAGGCAAATTGATTGGACTTTTTGAAAGGTTTTTGGTATTTTATGTACAGTAATAGTAGTACATGTTGTCTGGTATTATTTTAATTTAAGCTCCAAGTACCCAGTCACATTATAGCTTATACTCTTGGTAAGCTGCAATAGTAACACACAATGCACATAAGGTACATAAGGTAAGAATGTGTATAATATGGTATTCATGCATAAATTTACTTTTTATTTGGTAGGTGAGTAAGCATGCATTCTCTTTATATCAAAGCAAAGAAATCTAAAAAAAAATAGTCAACTATTTCTTTGTATACCTCGCCTTGTATTAAACCAAGCAAATCTTGAAAATGAGCCAATTACTTCTCTGCATAACTCTAACAGAACAAATAAATGGTTAAACACATTCAACTGAAAAACGCTAAGAGGTTAAATGCTGTTTATTACTGCACATCTGCCAACTCTCCTTGAAGTCAGGGTCAGTCTAATAGGCTGACATCTATGTCCCTGATGGTGTTCCCGTATGGATAAGCAAAATGACCTTTCTACATTTACAAAGTGACGTTAAAATAGGATAATATTATTCTATTGAACACATTGAGGTTTGCTTGATACAGTAGTGAAAAGCAACAGTGATATTTAATATCTAGACTCCCACAACAGCCAATCACATATTTTTTGAAAGGTGTTAATTATTTTCAGTTTTTACAATTATTGAGACATATTCATTGGGGTAAAACATGAAAGCCAAGTGTGTGTACATGAACACATAATAAAGAAGGGGGGCTGTGCATGTGAATAGTGAGAGCCAGCTTCAACATACATAGACTACAGGTGCCAACCAAATAATTCATTGTGCTTGATTTACTAAAACTGGAGAATGCAAAATCTGGTGCAGCTGTGCACGGTAGCCAATCAGCTTCAGCTTTTTCAATTAAACTTTGTCTAAAAAAAACTGGAAGCTGATTTGTTTCTATGCAGAGCTGAACCAGATTTTGCACTCTCCACTTTTAGTAGGCTGATTACCTACTGTATTTTCTCTCATACAACCCTCATGTCCCTATCCCCAATTTGAAAAATTCGATCACACCTCCATCTTAAAAATTAACAACTCAGAGTCAATTTCCCTAAATATCTCTCTTCCCTCTGAAGTTGTGACTCTCTGAAAGGAGAACTACTCCTTTCAGTGGATCTCAACCTTCATCAAATACCTAAGAATCCAACTACAGCTGAACCTTTGTGACTTATACTCCCCCAACTTTACTCACTTATACCTCCTCCAGTCAGACCTGAAAAACTGGAATAAAAAATATTTATATTATTTATTTCAGGTATTTATATAGCACTACAAAAATAAATAGCACTTCCTTCCTCTACCAAAAACCCAATAGATTGCTTAACATTCCTTCCCCTGAAGTACAAACATAATAATAAAATAAGCAAACTTATAATAAGTGACTGCCCAAAAGGAAATCCAAAAAACTATATCCAAAAACCGAAAAAATATATCAAAATATATATAAAGTCCCATACACCTAAAGTCCAAAATAAAGTTCACGTATCCAAAATCTTTACAAGTGATCTCTCAATTTGACTTTATCCCCGGATCAGATTGGTGATATATTCCAGAAAATCTTCAAGTGCCTCAAAAAAAAAAAAGAACTCAACATAGTGTGTTACCCTAAAAATTATATATTTTGTGCCACACGTGTAACATGCAAAATCCAAAACTAAAAGTGTCACAGCAATCGTGAGATCTCAAGGGTATAAATTGAGTTAATAACTTCACTGCACACAATAAACGAAGTGCATAATTACCCTCATCAAAGATATAATCAGCATAGAATCCATATTATAGATGAAAATGTCTCCACACATGGATCAAATATCTTCTCCTGCCTTTGCCCACAGACCTCATAAACAGACCAGGGATCAGTATATGTATTTAAAATTTCAACAATTTATTGTAGCAACTTACATTCAAGTTAGATGAGCACAGCTTCCATACACTGGGAACGTCCCAAAAAAGAGCCCACTCCTTAGCGGTGACTGTTTTACAGCCCCTTATTCATATGACAGAGAGAGCCAGGCAACCATGGGAGTCTCAAGGGTTGGAGCCACCGCGTGTTCCTGAATCCAAGATGCCCGCGGGGCACGTGACGTTGTGACGTACTGACGTTTTTCCGGAAGTGCCGGGGCGGCCATCTTGGATTCGGGAACACGCGGTGGTTCCAACCCTTGAGACTCCCATGGTTGCCTGGCTCTCTCTGTCATATGAATAAGGGGCTGTAAAACAGTCACCGCTAAGGAGTGGGCTCTTTTTTTGGGACGTTCCCAGTGTATGGAAGCTGTGCTCATCTAACTTGAATGTAAGTTGCTACAATAAATTGTTGAAATTTTAAATACATATACTGATCCCTGGTCTGTTTATGAGGTCTGTGGGCAAAAGCAGGAGAAGATATTTGATCCATGTGTGGAGACATTTTCATCTATAATATGGATTCTATGCTGATTATATCTTTGATGGGGGTAATTATGCACTTCGTTTATTGTGTGCAGTGAAGTTATTAACTCAATTTATACCCTTGAGATCTCACGATTGCTGTGACACTTTTAGTTTTGGATTTTGCATGTTACACGTGTGGCACAAAATATATAATTTTTAGGGTAACACACTATGTTGAGTTCTTTTTTTTTTTTTTGAGGCACTTGAAGATTTTCTGGAATATATCACCAATCTGATCCGGGGATAAAGTCAAATGGAGAGATCACTTGTAAAGATTTTGGATACGTGAACTTTATTTTGGACTTTAGGTGTATGGGACTTTATATATATTTTGATATATTTTTTCGTTTTTTGGATATAGTTTTTTGGATTTCCTTTTGGGCAGTCACTTATTATAAGTTTGCTTATTTTATTATTATTTATATAGCACTGTCAATTTACGTAGTGCTTTACATACATATATTGACTATTCAGATCAATCCCTAACCCTCAAGGGGGAGTTAACCGGAGTACCCAGAGGAAATCCATGCAAGCACAGGGAGAACATGCAAACTCCAGACAGGTGGTGCTGTGACTGGGATTTGAACCAGTGACCCTAATACTGCAAGGCAGGAGTGCTAACCATTAAGCCACTGTGAAAATGAATGCCCTTCCCAGGTTACTTTATTTGTTCCAAAATATTCCCATCACTATCCCCAGCTCATATTTTTACCTCGCTTCAATTGATATTATGCACTTTTCTTTGGAATAACAAATCCCCAAGAATAAGCTACCTCACTCTACCAAAATCAAAAGGAGGTATTGGCCTTCCTGACCTTCAGATATACTACTGGTCAGTTATCTAGAATAGTTGTCTGGAACATTCACTAAACTCTTAAGGACTTGGAGCTGCATGAACACACATTCTCTGCAATCCCCTCATATTCCAGCCCACGGATCATGAAAGTCCAAATCCCCAGTGCTTGTCATAATTATCTGCTAATTAAGGCGACCCTTCAGACTTTCCATATTCTAAGAAAAATTTCATCCTCACCTCCACTTATAGCCCTCTAACCCCTATGACACTCAACCTTGAATTCCCACCAGGTATCTGCCACTTTTTCCTCCTGTGGACCTAGGCCCTCTCTCG